GCTGACTCCCTCTGCCCCAGCGGCTCCCCCACCACGCCTGTCAGTTGAAATTGTGATGTAATAGCCCACAGGGCAAAGGCATTTTTTTTATGCTGGCATCAGCCCTCTGGGAGTTGAATGGGGAAAATAAAATGCAGCTCAGCAAGCTGAGAGAGGAGGTGCGTGCGGATAAGCTCCGGTGGCAGGCCCTGGTGGCTGAGGGCCGCAGGGTTTGTCTGCAGCTCTGGTTCCCACAGCCCGGCTCCCAGGGCGCAGGGAGCCCTCCCTGCTGGGGCTCCCACGTCTCCAGGCCCCCGAGGCATGACTGTGGGGAAGCTGTTGGAAACAGTGCTTTCTTAGTTTGGGGCTATCTGGTTGTTGGTTGTATGTGCTTTGCTTTTGTCAACATGTCTGTCCTGGAGTTGATCGTAGCAACTGGGAGGACCGGGTGGGTACTGCCCGTGGCACTGGGCTAGACCCCTCAGGCCACGTGTGCACCCTTGACTAGTTGTGGTTGAGAAAATAGACTGGAGGTGGGGGGAGGGGAGGGGAGGGGAGGCAGGAGGACAGCCTGCTCTATGTGTGTGGATTTCGGGGTTCCTGGCCTTGCCTTTGATCTTGGCATTGTTCCCACCAGTCTCCCTTTGGGACCAGAGACCTCAAGAGGCCCTTGTTGGCCCCTCCATGAAGCTTCCGTTTGGGTTTTGTAGAGCCGGTGGGTCAGAGGCTTGGGCCGAGGCGCCCTTGACCATACTTTTTAGGCTCCCAGGCCTTCGATGGCTCCTGAGACCTTGGGAATGTTTGTGTCCGGACAGCTGCTTCCATATGTAAATTGCGCAGGTCACCCGTTCTGGTGTTGAACATTTCACTGCTGGGGGAACCGTTTCAACTTCGAACCCAACTTTCGAGGATTTCTTTAGGCAGAATTTCCGTCAGGACGGCAGCTGGTCAGGAGATGTGGCAATTGGAACCTTTGAAAGTTGAAGGACAATTTGCTTAACCCGCTGGCGGTGTAGTTTGGACGCACGGGGCGGGGCGGGCTTTCCTGGAGTTAGTCTTTCCCGTCGTGACTTGGTGCTGAAGAGCCAGGTGCAGTCAAAGGCCGTCTGAGCTTTATGTCCTGCTAAGCTGCTTCCTGAGGTTTGGAAACACCCTCTGCGTTAAACAGACGACTCGCTTGGCCAGAGACGCCCAAACCTTCCCTCCCAGTTAAGGCTTCTGGTTCGTAGGCTAAAAGGCCAATGTGCAACCACATGCTTGCGCGTTTAGTGGTGATGGTTAAATTTTCTATGAATTGAATAAATCATGTTTTTTAAAAAGTTAATGAGGCATTTAATTAATTAACAATGTCGGGTTTATGGCCTTTATGGTTACATTTTGTGGTTAATGGCATTCGGCTTATAGCCGCTTAACAGAGAACTGTCCAACGAAAACAGTGTGATTTTGTTTGGGAACGGGTGGGCTGCCCGGCAAGCGCTCCCATTTCTAGGGCAGAAAATAAACCAAGAAATGTATTGGGTGGACAGAGGGCCTGTGGGTGCTCGTCACGGCTGGGTTGCGTCCCTCTCACTGGGGCCTTTTGAACCTTGCCAGCTGCCCAGATACCAAAAGCCCCGAGTTCTAGCTCCAGGACTTCCTGTTCATTGAACTTGGGGTTTAACTTCTCTGGACTTTGGTTGCCCCAAGTGTTGAATGAGAACAGTGTCATCTTCCTTTCCTGGCACGTCACGGGTTACTGTGGCATGGCATGGGGCGACAGAAGGCACGCTCATTGAAACGAGCAGTGCTGTGTACATAGTGACAGCAACGTGGCTGCGCTAGGACAGCCCGTGGCAAAACGGCTGGCCTGGCTGTGGGTTGCTCCTGCCTCCTGCCACCCTCCCGGGAAGGAGTTGACTTGCCCGTCGGCTCTGCTGCCCTTTCATTTCTGGGTGCCCTCCGCTCAGCCCTGGCAGCGACGAGGGTTTCCAGGTGAGGGCCATAATTGTCAGAGCAAATAAAGCCCGGGTGACAGGCCACCAGACAGGCCACCGGGCCCCGGGGAAATTGATCTGTGCACAGCAGTCAGTGGCGCTCAGACCTGATCCCAGACCACGTGACGGGGCCTCTCCCCGGCGGGGCACACAGCTCATTAGCTTGCAGCCGTCCGCTCCAGCCTGGCTGGGGAGGACCTGCTAAAAGAGCAGCAGCTTCATGCGGTATCCTGGATACCGGGGCTCAGGGCAGGTGGCCTGGGAGCCCAGAGGATTGTGGGCTTGCTGGCAGGTTAGGATCTGAAGGGAGAGCGCATTTGTGGGCATGGCTTGTCCCTTCCTCCTCTTGTTTTTGGAAGGGAGCTGCCGCACTGACCTGAAGCCACAGGGCACCGCTGGCCGCGTTCACCAGCACGCAGCCTTCACTTCTCATGTGGAACATTCTGGTTAGCTCCCAAGTGGTGGGTCACCTTTGATTGACATGTCCCGCAAAGGGCCTAGAAGAGTTGTCATGGAGAGGCCTGCCGTGACCCACGCGGCTCCCCCCGACCCACTGGAGCATGTGTCGGGCCATCTGCTGGGCGTGGTTGGTAGGAAAAGAGTAAAGCGTGTCTTCTGCTGGCCAGTGCCGTTTTCTGTGTTTGAAAACTTCCTTCGTCAGGGTAGTAATAATAAAACAGGGACCAAATGACTGCTCCGCCTGCTAGGAGCGCCTCATAGGACTGTGAACACGCCAAAGAGTAAAAATCATCCAGCGATTCTGGTGCGAACTGCTGACAGAACCCCTTCTGAGAAAGGGCCAATGTATGGTATCTCAGTCCCTGTCGTTCACTGAAGTAAACATGAACATGCTATTCATTCAGCCCCAAGTGGGTGGAGGGTGAGGCAAAATGGGGCAAGGGGTGTATGCGAAGCATTTTGTGTCATTTCTTGGTGATACACAGACAGAGCTTCGCTCTTACTCTACTCAACATATGAATGGGAGCGTGTGCGCCGCAGGCTGTACTTGTCCATGTATCATCTAAGAGATTAGAGTTGGACACCTGTCCCGGCCAAGCCAAGCCCTGGCCTGAGGCCTCAGCTAGCTGATGGCATCCTCCCGCCGCCTTTACAGCTTCCATGACGCTCCTGTCTCAGGAGGAAATGGACACGGGGAGAAGTTCAAGGGTAATTTGCCCAGGGCCAGGCTGCTGGTTTCACGTACAGTCACCAGCCTGCAGAGCCCAGAGGACACTCTCTCCATCACTGAGCCCTTCACACGTGCTCTCGGACCCAAGGATGGGTGCCTCGGGAAGTGGGCACTGGGTGAGGAGGTCTGATGGCAGTCCCCCTTCGCTCCCCGCAGGAGGTGGTCTTGTACTGCTTGGAGAATAAGATTTGTGACGTGAACCACCGCGACAATGCCGGATACTGTGCCCTGCATGAAGCCTGTGCCAGGGGGTGGCTGAACATTGTGCGACACCTTCTTGAATACGGTGCTGATGTCAACTGCAGTGCCCAGGACGGAACCAGGTCAGTTGCGGGTCTTGGTGGCAGCCTGGCCCTGCGGGCTGCGGGGCACAGGCAGTGCCTTTCAGAAGGAAAGATGGAGAGTGACATGGAAGCACATGGATGGTGGAATCGACCAAACCTTTCTGGCAAATTTAGGGAGAACTTTCAAAGTTTGCAATGTTCCCATGGACAAAAGTCTGAAAATATTGAGCCTGCCTGAGTAATTGGAGACGTTGCCCTTTAAGACCCCATACTTTCCATCAGCATCTATTGAATTACGGCATTTAAAATATCCTGGAGCCGACAGTCCCAGAATCCAAACAGGGCCACTGCCACTGGCTTGGTGTAGGATCTGCCCGGGCCACACACATCTATAGCCCGCACACCCTGTCCTTGACCTTGGTTCATGGGGTGCTGCTGGGAAGCGGGGCACGAGGCCTTCCCTGACAGTCATAACAGCAGCAAAAGGGAAATGTGTTTATGGTTTCCAAATAGCATTTCCCATCCATGGATACTGGTGAGAGGGCCCTGCACCTTTTAAAAAACAGACGAGGCTTTTTTATTTGTTTTTGTTTATTTTATTGAGTTCAGATAAGAAGGGAGAGGGGGAGAGAGAGAGAGAGAGAGAGAGAGAGAAACATCAATGATGAGAGAGGATCATGGATCGGCTGCTTCCTGCACGCCCCCACACTGGGGACTGAGCTCACAACCCAGGCCTGTGCCCTGACCGGGAATCAAACCATGACCTTTTGATTCATAGGTCGATGGTCACCCACTGAGCCACGCCAGCCAGGCTGGGCTTTTCTTATAACAGCATAGGGCTTGCTTGTATTGGCTTCCACAATGGTGGGCTTTTTCTCCTGTAAATTATCTCACCTACTTAAGTTCATTGAAAACGTTTTCATTTTGGCTTGTGTCCCTCCTTAGGCCCTGGATTAAGGTACATTTGCCCTTGAGAATTAGGCCTGGAATAGTAGACACGTTGCTTGACCTTGGGCCAGTCACTGCCTCAGTTTCCCTCTCTGGAGTGTCAGTGGCATCACACGTGTCAGGGTTGTTAGAGGCCAGCGTTGCGCGTGGGAGCTGACCTCTGTCCGTGTCCCCCAGGCCCCTCCACGATGCGGTCGAGAACGACCACCTGGCGATCGTCCGCCTGCTCCTCTCCTATGGTGCTGACCCCACTCTGGCCACGTACTCAGGTAGAACCATCATGAAGATGACGCACAGCGAACTCATGGAAAGGTTTCTAACAGGTACGACAGAGTTCACGCCATGGCCTCATTCAAACCCCGGGGGTGGGGAGTCCCCGAGCTCCTGGCCACTCGCTCAGTGGGTCCAGCCGCGTTTACCTCGTTTACTTACTGGGTCACGTACTGTCAAGTTAGTTTCGGAAAGAGCAGATACGGAATGCAAAGAGGAGGTGCCAGCTTTATTTTTGCCTGTGAGGGCAGAAAACATCCTTAGCTTGCCCGTCTAGCTTTGGTTTGCTGGGCGAGGGGCTGATGAGGGCGAGGGGGGCCCGTCCCTGGTGGGGAGGATGCACCCTGGGTGGACTGGGGTGAGATGTCCCCCGGCCTCCCGCACCTGGTTCTCACCAGCAGCTTTACCCTCTTTCTCCCCAGACTATTTGAAAGACCTGCAGGGCCGCAGCGACGAGGACTCCAGCAGCTTCTGGGAGTTTTACGGCAGCTCCGTGTGTGGTGAGCGGCATCACTCTTTCTGGTTCAGTGGGATACTGGTGCCTTTCGGACCATTTCTCTGCCGGGGGTGAGGGTGTGGGTGCCACAAGCGGGGCTCGTTGGGAAAGAGTCTTTGAGTCCTTCTCTGACACAGTCTGGCTGTGACTGATGCCTCGCTCTCTCGCTCGCCCTTCTCTAGAGCCGGATGATGAAAGTGGATATGACGTGTTAGCGAACCCCCCGGGGCCAGAGGACCTGCAGGAGGATGACGAGGCCTACAGTGATGTGTTCGAATTTGAGTTTTCAGAAAGCCCCCTCTTACCATGTTACAACGTCCAAGTGTCCGTCGCTCAGGGGTGAGCATGGCTGTCCTGT